TGACTGAACATAATTAGATAACTTGATGCACAAAAAAAGTTTTAACAAGGGTGTAATTATTTTTTTGAAAATATGCTCAACCAATCGGTCGAATTGGCCTTTTATGGTAAGCTAGCAATATGACTTTTTCAGAGTTTCAGAGATGTTTTCCAATAAAATATGGTAAATAAATGGCTAGATTCATGGTAATATTACTAAATCTAGTTCTGCCTTATGAGTCTCAGAGTGACAGAGTGATAATAATTTATATAGCACATTTCATGCATGGCATTCAGCCCAAAATTGCACACAGATGAGCAAGTTAGGCCAACACAGGATATGGACATGTGCTGTTAGGCCAGTGGTTTCCTTTTAGGCCAATTCAGCATATACAGTAAGATGAGCAAGTATTTTTTTTATCATGAAAAACACTTTACATGACTTTTTTCCATTTTATTTTTTTTACAATTATAATTTATTATCTTTTATGAATATATCTGGTTGTATATATTGCTCATTTTCCATAAAAGAAACAAATGTATTTGAGTTTGTGTTTTATTTGAGTTTGATGCATACAAATACTGTACTGTATATGATGATTACTTTTACCATGCCAGCTCCACCATTTGGTAGAGGCACATGTATATTACACATACAGTATGTGTAATATACATGTATGTATGTATGTATGTATGTATGTATGTATGTATGTATGTATGTATGTATGTATGTATGTATGTATGTATGTATATGCTTCTACTCCATACCGTCCCAAACCGGAAGTGTCGAAGAAATACGTTTTAAAATAATAATTGTTGTGTTCATGCTGCAGTTCACACTTTGGACAGCGGAGGGAAACAACGTGCCCTGCAGCGTGCGAGCTACCCGGAAACAGAAAAATACGAAGAAGGCGTAGTTGTGTTTACGCCGTAAACACTCAGAGGTTGGTTGAGTGATAGAGATAATAAAGCGGCAATAGAAGTATTTCTGTTTCACATTTACTGCAGCATTTGGGAGTAGCTGCTGTATTTCCATGGGGGGTCACGGGGGTGTGGGGAACGAGCCCGAGACCATTGACTACTCTGTGCACGAAGCCTGGAATGAGGCCACCAATGTTTACCTGCTGGTGATCCTGGTCAGCTTCGGCCTGCTCATGTACGCCAGAAAGTAAGACAGTCTGCACCTGCTTTCAACTATTCCCTGTGTCGCTGGGTTTATAATATGTAGACGAACGCTTCATTTGTATAGTTCAGTCAGACTGTTGTCTCTTCGGTTCTTATCTAAAATATTACATTTCAGGCCAGACTCGATTGAACATGTTTTTATTTTTGATGTTTCCTTGTTTGCATGAAAAGATAAATGGATTTTCTGGCATTGATTTAACAGTATATGTATATATTGGTGTCATTTGGTTAATTCGGCATGCATAAAATCCTCCAAACTTGATGCATTATCATTTGAAGTCGATTTGTATCAGTGATTAGTTTATCATTAGATTAGTACTGTCAGAAATAAATGGTGACATTATGTTTAAGTCAGAGCAGTCTCCCTTCACGTCTTAAGGTCCCATCTCTGTATAGTATGTGTATTCACTCACTGTCCTAAACGGCTTGTTGGAGCTCCTGCCCTCCCCCCAGTACACCGTTGACCGTTTTGGTAATTCCTTGGTAACATTTAAATAAACTTGCATTATGTGACATAACTTAGTAGCCTACTGGAAATATTTACTGCTGTCTTCTGGTGAATTCGGCTTTCATATAATCCTCCAAACATAATGTTCAACTTCTGTCAGAAAATATTCTCATGCTTTCTCACTGACACTCAGAAACAAGAGGAAGATCATGCGTATCTTCGCCCTGCCTCCCACCGTTGGCAGCAGCCCGGAGCCAAACTTCTACGACAGCCTGCAGAAGGTCCGCCTGCGGCAGCAACTGGAGATGTACTCTCTGGGTAAGCATCAGGGTAGATCTGCAGGACAAAATCCATAACAGATAAGGATTTCAACCCAATTGTTATCGGTTCATGTGTCAATGCGGTCCTGTTAACACCCTATTACTGACTTTTCTGAGGTTTAATTGGATCATGTTGACATTTTGGGTTATCTGGAGGTTCATTTAAATGTTTTCTGTCTTTTAGCTAGAAAATTTGATCAGCAGCAGGGCCAGACGGACAGTGTGCAGCTCTCCATGGAATGACATCAGGAAGAGACTCATCGCTTTCTGTCAGAGTAAACACTCCTGCGTCTGCGAGCCCTCTGGGGCGTTAATAGGAAATGATTTCGATGACTGACATGATCAGAGATGGCAGAAAAGCGGCTGCTACTGCCATTCTGATGGCTTCTGGTTTGCTCCTTGTCCTCAAGTATCTTCATTCCCCTTCTGTTGTCTCCTTTTCGTGTGTTAGGCATTGAGAAGGCACATTTGGGTTTATGAAGAAGCAGCAGAGACTCTAACCTTGATTGAGGAATGATGAACCTGTAACTGAAGCAGATTTAATAAAGATACTTTCTGTATCGCATGAGATTTATAAAAAAAAAGTTTTCTTTTGCACATTAGAGATTATTTTAAACTAACATAGGTGATTCCATTGTTTTTTGTTACTTCTATTAAATGTTTTGTATCAACTGAATAGTAAAGTAAACATTTTGAAATGTGAAAATAAAATGGCACAAACTAACAGCAGCTGAGTCAGCAAATGCTTTGATTAACACACTTAAAGGAAAACGTGTTCTCTTACCATGATTATTTTTACTATGTAATATTTTGGTTTAAAGTTATTCCTGTAGTAAGTAATGAAGGTTTTTGTGCATGTAAATGGTCTGCAAAGGCAGACTGGACTCTGGTTTCAGGCAGAGTGTGAAAAGAGGTGCTGCAGCACAGGCAGTATGAGAAAAATAAAGAGCTCTTTGAACATTAAAGCATGGAGACATGTCACAGTAGAGGAGCTAAATACAAAGATGAACCTGAAAATGAGCATACTGTGTCCTCTTTAAGTAGTGTCTCATGGCTCTACACTCAATTCATCACAACCCTATCTGTGGATAATCTTGAATGACCAGATCATTATTTCTGGCAGGAGACATTGCGTTTTTCAAACAAAATGTCTGCACTTTTGGCACCACAAGCAGATTTCCATCTAGTTCCATTATATTCGAGAAAGCATATTGAAGCTCTCCAATTCCAACCAAGAAGGTTTTATTTAGACGGAAACATCCAGTAAGCTGCTGAGTCAGGAGCACAAACATTATTTGAAGCGTAATACAATGACCCTGGTGATGAAGTAAACAGGCATTTTCAACAGACCAGAAAAAGCGTCAAAAGAACTAAGAATGCTCTTATTTAAAGTCAACTATTTTCTGTTTGGTTCTACATCTTCAAACTAAACTGAAAAAGACAGTATTTACAAGAATTGACTAATTAAGGCTTACACACAATCATTAACAGCTCATAGCTCAAATAGAATCTCTATATATCCTGCATAGGATTACTAAAGCTTGGCACCCGCATTTTAAGAAGGAAAATATACAGAATGCTCCAGGCATGAAATAAAGTGTACAAAGCGGAAACCATCAGAGCGATATACAAAATAACACGTCTTCAAATATAAAAAAATGCAACTATATACAAAAATTAGGCAGCAAGTTGCGAAATAAAATAAGAGTTCATTCCCGCGGTACAGCAAGAGGATTCTTCATAAAGTTCAAGCAGCAGGAGCAGGCGAGATGCAATGTGCTTTATTAGAGGACACAGCGTCAGTGCCGGCAGACGTCCAGGTCGTCCACATAGAGAGGACGGGCGTAGTCTGACAGCCAGTCTCTGAGGAACAGCTCCTCCGCCTGCGCCTGCAGCGTCTCCTGCCCCTCCTTCACCTCGGAGCCCGTCTGGTTCACCACCAGGCCGACCCCTGCCGTCTGCGTGAAGTAGTCCTCCGACCAGTTAGAGGTGCCTGGGGACACAAAAAAAATGACACGTCAGTAAGCACGGCGTTCACAGGAACTACTAACACTCATTTGTTCCCAACTTGGGTTCTGTAAAATAAATAAAATCATATTTAAAAGTATAATTTTTTGGGAGAGAAGCATTGAAAACAGGTTCAAATAAACCTACAACACTGGAAATACTTCAAAAATAAAACTTAAATGACTTGGTATGAGTTAAGGTTTTTCTTTCTGGACCAAGGTTATAATAGTTTCATTCATTTATATTTTATATATTTCTAACTTTTAAATTGAGTTTAGGACATTTATTTTCACTGCTTGATTCCGTTTGCAACAATCACCCTGCTCTGATCCAAGCATCATGTTTTAGAAGCTAATTATATATTTATTTGAATGAAATATTGTCTGTGAAATAAATAGTTATTTTCATACAATTAAGGTGGAGTAGAAGTATAAAGCAACATTAAGTGAAACCACCGTAAACATCTTAACACTACAGAAAAAAGAAGGAATTCACAGCATCTCCTGCTATATACTATGCCATATTTAGTGTTAACATCGTACCTATATACACCACTCTGTCAGTAACCATGTACTTGGCGTGATTGACTCGGGCGAAGGGGATCTCCATCTGCTTCGCTGTAGAAGGCACTGTGAAGATTTTCTGCACGGAAACCAAACAGCAGAAGTTTAACATACATCACGTTCTGTTAAGGACTGAGTCATTATGTAGGACAACTCAACTCACCACGTCAACGTTGCATTGGAGTGGGGGCCTGTTGAGCAGCAGCAGGGACTGCAGGAAGGGGAACATGGCGGAGGGGGAGTGCTTCCAGCAGCTGACCAGTAGGTGGACCTGCACGCCTCTGGTGCACGCCGCCGAGCGCAGCGCTGAGTCGATGGCCGGCCAGAACCTGAGAGAGGGAGGACAACACACACTTTGATAAACACTGTCGATATCAAACAGTCTGTGGTGCTAGTGGGCTACACCCAAGGAGAGGAAAGGATCTCATTGTATCTGTATAATGACAATAAAGGATTCTATTCTATTCTATAATGCCTTTGAACTAGAAAGCTTTAAAAAAAAAAAGTATTTATTTAACCTTTATTTAACCAGATAAAAAGCATTGAGATAAAATCTCATTTACAATGCTGACCTGGCCAAGAAGGCAGCAACGTTACATATTTTTACACATAACAGACATATAAAATACAGAGAACACAACTAAGTAAACAAAAAAAGACGAAAAGCAGTCACTACCACTAAATCAGCAGCTGAACATAATTTTACTCCCAATAGCTGCTCTGTCAGCCAATCAGGGTCCAGTGTTGTGACTGTTGATTCATTAAATACTCTTAACTAATCTATTTACAAAGTTCCATGGATCGCATTCTTTGTTACTGTCATACCCAAATCTTTAATTAAGTAACTCAACATATAGAGTGGTGCAGTGATATATATTTTTTTTTAAAAGGACGAACAGGAAGTTAGCATCGCAGGGGCTTCTTCGGCAAGAAGTCAATGGGAATTTTCCATTGGATTTGAGTTCATAGCAAAAAGAAACACTGTAATCTATGGCTAACACCACTTTTATAGAAGTTGAACCCTAAATGCTAATGCTAGAAGTCAAAAGCTAACGTTAGGCTAAAAACAAACTACACAACAACAACACCACTAAGCTAAAGGCGGATAATGATTGGCCTGATGACGTTTAGTTGTCTCATTTAGCCACTTATTAGCAACCGTTTTATGACACACAAAGACTTTGGACATTGACAGTGGAGTATTTACCAACTTATTTTATGTTCTAGAACAAAACGTGAAACTTGATTAAGCTTGTGTTAACCAAAGAGCTTATTTCAGGTGTCCACAAGTGTTAACATGCCAACTCATTTTTGGGTTTTAGGACTCATTCCTGCACCAATTATTGAGATGGAGATTTACTAGATCTAGGAATCTATTGGTGTCCTGTCTGGGATTGTTGAGTTGAGGGTAACGTCACCTGAGTGGCTCTGAGAACTGGGACAGAGGAAGGTAGTCCATGACGGAGATGTGAATGAATGTGTGGGCGTCCTCGATGACGGACAGGATGGTGGAGAGATCGTCTGAGCGGCCGCGCGCTGAGATCTGCGGGGGGGCGCTCTGCAGGAAAGAGATAGAACAGAGCAGGTGAGAATCATTGGAGCAACCGGCGAGAGGACGTCACTACTGGGGAAACAAAGACCCTTATTACAAGTTTCACTGAGTAGGAACACTGAATAAAGTCTGTGTATAACTGACTGCTGCTTATTTTGCTCAGGCCTGTTTATTCGATAATTTAAGATCCGGATTGACAATATTTTTTGTTTCAATGTTATTATATAGTTCAAAATTATTCAAAAACGGAATAAAATTGTATTTATTTCCCATTCTGACAATGGATGCTTAAAAAGGGATACCACGTCATACAGGCGGAAAAAAAAACCGCACCTTAACTTTGATTAAAATTACAGATTTGATTGGGTTTGAAAATTGTCGTTAACACGTTAGAATAAAACTCATCAAAAAGGAAATGGGACATTCATTTGGGTATACAGTATTTTGTATACCCAGCTCTATAAAAAACATATGAATCCTTGTAAATTAAACTAAAACCCAAAAGTATGATTTCAGTTGTTTCCCTCTTCAGGAGGCCTCTAAACTTACAGACAGGTAGACCTGAGCCGGCACGCCATTGAACATGAGGTGCAGGGGGTTCTGGGAGCTGGACAGGGCGGAGAAACGAGCGGGCCAGTAGGGCGGCAGGGAGCCGTTGTTCAACCCTCCGATGCTCCGGTACACCCCGAAGATCCTGAAGGCGTCCTGAGCCAGGCAGCTGCAGTCCTCCACCCAAAGCCCCACCTCCTTCACCTGCCCAACAGGAAGCAGTCACTCTGTCACTCACATACTACTGCTGTGGATGAACCTCAAACCAACTCTAACATGTAGAAGGAACAATAGTGTTGATAATCCAGATTATTTTAGCAACTACACGTCTACTGTGATTTACCTGACTCAGAGAGCGCCAGTCCATGTTGGCGCTGCCCAGGTAGAAATGCTTCTGATCCACCACCAGCAGCTTGGTGTGGACGATGCCTCCGGTCACAGCCTTCAGGTCCACCTCTCTCACTTCTGCGCCTGAACACAAAACAAACCATACACATGATCACTAATCCCTGCAGAACAAAACTAATCATTCCTTTTAATTTTTTTTTTTTTAAACAATATGTTTGATGAGTTTTAAATGAGAAATCCAGTATAATATTTATTTATAAATGTTTTAATTTAATTGTATATTTTATTCGATCTTAATTAATATCTTATTTGAATATAAATGCATTTATTTGTATATCTTTTCATTGTACCTTCTTACTCTCACTTATGTTCTTTTGAATATTTTAATTTAATTTAATTTGATCTTCTATTTGACATTTTTACTTTAACTGATGTTTATACTAACAAATATTTATTTATTTTAACTCTAAAAAGGAGCAACAATCCCATTTCACCCCAGGATAAATAAAGTATTCTGAGTTAGATAAATAAATATTGTACATGTATACATTTTGCAAACAAAATGAAAGCGATTTAAAAATAAATAGAATGATCCCCCATTACACAAATGGTGAAATCATTATATTAAAAAGTTATGACGAAGAACTGATGTGTCCCTGTCCAGCTGTGGTTCATGGTGCAACACAATGATCTCCATGTTGTTGGGGATGATGTACCTGTAGCAGCTAACTCTGCCGTATCCTCAGTGGAGGTCTGTGGGGCGTTGACGGCCATCTGAAGCTTCACACCTTTGGATTCAAGTTGTTTCAGTTTCTCAAACACCATTCTCCCCTGCAAAATATGTGGAAATGATGTTACACACATTAGAGGGTGAAATAAATACAGCAACATTCATTAGGGGCGTGGCGCTGAACCCACCTTAGTGTCAGTGGCGTCTGGAACCTCGCTGCCTCGCAGGCTGAAGTAGAACGCAGCGATATCGACCGAGCTGTTAGCTTTGTCCAGCAGGTGCAGCCAGCTGTCTGCGATGCTCCGCCTGGACGGGGGGGAGTACGGGTAGAGACCCTCGGGGATGCTTTCAACCAGCCGCACCCTGAACACGGGGAAATAAATTGTCTTAAACTAGTAGAGATGCTAAACTTTAAAGTTTGACAGGTTTATAATGATTTAGCTATGGCCCAAAGGTCAGCTTCCAAACAGCAAAATGGACAGTCATTGTGTACGGAAGCCCTGAGAGGCCAGTAGGAAAAAGGTTATTATTTGGGATCTAAACTGATTCCTCTGCTGTGTTTATGTCTGAATAACAGATTGATAAGAAACATGTTTGACAATAAAAAAAAAATTAGCATAAAATAAATTGGGCAACACCGAAATAATCTACAACTATTTTGACTATTGATTCATTTCCAAAGTAATGTTTTTGTGCAAAATTGACCCAAAAGACTTTCTTAAATATGTAAACGTTTATGCTTTGTTTAATATCATTAAAGTATATTTCATTAGCTGCAGCCCTCCTTTGAAAAAAGTATGTGAACAATTATTTTTTAAAAGTGTGATTTTTCAAATTTACTCTTTTGTCAGGTGATTTTTTGTTTTGTTAGCGTCCTTAAAGAGCAACTTGCAGGTTTTTTTTTTTTACTACATTTATTCTTAACCTTTCCTGAAAATTTCAATTCAAAAAGTTAGTGCAGGATTTGATATGTTTTACAAGACATAAGGGCAGGAATTCAGAGGAAAAGGAGCCGTTTTGAGCTCTGCTCTTAAAAACTGCTTTTTTTTTTTAAACGTCATACGTCAAACGCGTCATATTACGTCACATGGGGAGCAACTTTCTCGGACTCCTTCTCTGCCCATTCCGCGGTAGTAGTTTGAAGTTGGTTTGAGCGGTTGTGATTTAGTGAGCTGGTATTTTTTCGGTAATTTTACATTGCATTTCCCCATTTTTAATCATGGTGAGCTGGTATTTGTGCAGGTTGCACAAACTGTGCAGGTTGCACAAACTCCAGCCTGTCAGGACATCGAGTCCACAGTTTCCCTAACAGGAAAAGGACCGGAGCTAGCGTTCGTTCCTGGGTGCGTTGTGCATCCACCTCCCTGCAGCACATACTCTCCACAGCTGAGGACTATCAAACAAAACGTTTATCAGGAAACCGTATTACATCTCTCTCTCCCCCCCTTCGCTCCTCTCTCTCCCTCTCTCCCCTCCGGTACACAGCACCCAGAGCCATATAATATATATGGCCCTGACAGCACCGTAACGTAGTGTGGAGTTGCATTAGGTAACGCGAGATACGGCTGATACTTGTGCATTAGTTTCTGTTATGGATCAGTATCAACAGTTCTGCCAGTAACGTTACTATATTATCAACTTTAGTTATAGCCTGATATATGATAGCTAACTTCACAATGTTGTGATGTGACCGACGTTAGCTAACAGCTGTCTGTAGCTAACGCCGGTCACTCACCAAGACAGCTGCTCTGTTCTCCACTGGTTCTCCACACACCACAGCTCCATTTCTCGCCGATGGCCGTTATTTCTTCTAATCCTTGGCTGCTCCTGGTCTCTTGGACGCCTAGCAGGCTCATAATTATAATCATATGCATTCGAATATATATTTTCAACCTCTTCTGTGTCAAAACTAGCATTGTGATCCATGTTTATTACTACGTTAGACCGGCTGCTCTCCCCCGTGTTACATCACACGCGGGAGGTCACGTGGGGAGGCTTTTTGTATGCGGAAGAAAAAATGTCTTACAAAAACGACGCCAGATGTCACTGTAGTGTATATTTCTGTATATTTTTTTGAAATTATAGTGTATACATCATTTTCCTACACATTTATTTAACCTGCAAGTTGCTCTTTAATATTTTGCTGCCGTTATACTCTTTCAACTGTTCTTAAGTACTAAACAATTTAGATCATATTTGAAAAAATAAAATGTAGCGAAGGAGTCTCTAAAAATGACAACGTGAACGGAACAACTTTTAGTTGGCCGGCTGTAAGCGGTCGAGTTTGACAGCTCCATACCGAGGGAGAGGCCTGCCGTTGCGGAGCCGAGGCTTCAACAACGGCCACAGCCGCCAGCGCCACCTGCACTAGCGAACCTGACGATGCCCATGACCTGCCTTTTAACTGGACACAGAAAAGATGGAGTGAGTGGAATGAAAGGTATCCATGGCTTTTCATAAATAAATAAAAAATAGCAGTGTTTTTATAGCAATTGATCGCATCCGNAGGAAAAAGGTTCCCCACCCCTTTAGATCAGGGGTGGGGAATCTTTTTCCTCTCAAGGGCCATTTCAATTTTTAACAGACAGAGAATCAGCACTTTTGAAACAGGGCTGAAACAGAGGGGATTATGGGTAATGCTGCAATGATCTGTTTGGTGTTTCAGCCAATCAGAGACAGGCTCTGTATATATCTGAGACCTGTGATATATTGATGAAGAACAGTATGATAGGGGACCTTTAAACCGACGTTGGAGTTCTTATTTTTTTTGGATTCAAAACATTTTTCCGCTGCTAAACCTCCTCATCCTAATCCCACTGCAGCCTCCTCCTGCTGCTGCTGCTGGACTCCAGAGAGGTTTTGGTTCTGATTGATCCAGACGGGTCCTGGTTTTAGTGTCTGAGCTCTCTGCTGCTGGGGAACTGCGAAAGAAGATCTCTGGTTTCCGAGTGTTCTCAGGTCGGGGAAACAGTGAACACACACACAGGTTTCCGTGGGGCAGGAGTCGTACGTCGTATCGTCTGTGGATTGGTTTGAATATGTTGGAAAATCTGTAGAATAGACAGAGGGAAGTGTGCAGATGTTGAACTTGTGCTTGTCTTATATTGTACTTCTTAAATATAGATGAAAACAGATAGTACACAGTATTAATGTGTTAATGTGAATTGGTTGAATTAGTTTGAAGAGAGGCCCACTCTTCAAACTAATTCAGTCAATTCAAGTTGAAAACATTTTCTATCAAATCGAAGTTGGTAAGTAAAAAGCCCAATGACTTATTTTGAATCTGAAGTTTCTGTTTAAAGGGATGAGCTGCCAACAAAATAAATGAAACTCCGTGGAGAGATGTGATGTATAGGCTGTTGTTTTTTTAAAAGCATATTCAAGTATTAAGCATAATTGACCTACATTTGATTGATTTTTCAAACTCATAACTGAACTTATGAGGCAATATACCTCTAGTGAGCGGCCCAGCCCTTCGTATATTTTTCTGTATGTGGCCCTCTGTGAAAAAAGTTAGGACCCCCCTGGTTTAGTACAAAGAAGGGGAGCTACATTTTGTTTGCACTACTCAATACTGCTCGTCACTGTACAGCAGGGGCAGACTGGGACTAAACATCAGCCCGGGACTCTCGACCAGCCCATTTCGGTACGGCCGGCCCACCTCGGTACCGCAAGTAAATACCGCTATTAAATTGTCGACAATGACGATGACGGGGGGGGGGAGTTGTAGTGTCTTATCCGACCGGCCCACATCGTCCGACCGGCCCACTTCAGTTCAGCCCATCGGGATTCGTCCCGAACGTCCTGATAGCCAGTCCGCCACTGCTGCACAGTATTTCACATTAATTATGTGACCCTCTATGTTTCCTGTAGTTATTTAATTAGCTCTTTTCACTGCACTGTTAGTGTACAGTTGTATTGTTACGCTGCTGTGTTTATTGTATTTGTGTACCACACTCACCTTGAAAGCTCCTCACTGGTTGGATAACCTCCTCCCACGTCTGCACCTCCCTCCTCTGCTTCTGTTTCGCCTCTTTGGGTTTCTGGTTGGAGTTTTTACCCTTCCAGCTCCTCACTAAGACGGCCAGCGCTAGAGATAAGCTGGAGAGCAGCAGCATGATGCAGATAGCCAGCAGAGAGTACAGCAGGATGGTGGAGTCCACTGAGAGGCCTTTAGTATCCTCTGAGGGGGAAGGTATTTCAACCAGGAGCTTTCTGGTGGTCGTAGCTGGTCGGGGAGATGAGAAGAAGAGCTCAGAAGGGTAGGTGACACCCGAAAAACCTGCATTTTCAACCAAGGTGCAACTACCAAGGCAAGGCAGGTTTATTTATATAGCACCTTTCAGCACACGGCAATTCAAAGTGCTTTACAAATTCAAATAAAAGACATTTAAGAATGAATACAGCAGAAAAAAATTATAAAATGGCATTTAAGTACAGGCATTTTTCCAAATCCTGCTGTGACATTAGTCTTTTAATCCTAGATATGTTCTTAAGGTGATAGTATGCAGACTTAATAACTGTTGTAATGTGACTTAAAATTCATGTCGGAGTCCATCACTACACCTAGATTTCTTGCTTTATTCGTTGTTTTGAAGTCTGCTGACTGAAGCTCTGCGATGACTTTTAATCGTTCCTCCTTTGCTCCAAAAACAATAATCTCAGTTGTCTTTTTGTTCAATTTGAGAAAGTTCCTACTCATTGATGTGCTCAATGCACTTACTCAATGTTTTAATCGGAGAATAGTCTCCTGGTGACATTTTTATATAAACTTGGGTGTCATCTGCATAGATATGATAACTAAGGTCGTTGTTTTTCATTATTTGAGCCAGTGGTAGCATATAAATATTAAAAAGCAGTGGTCCTAAGATGGAGCCTTGAGGAACCCCACATTTCATATTTGTCATCGCCGATGTGTTGCCCTATAGAGACAAAGGTTTCTGTGTAAATGGCCTGCAAAATCCCTTTGTTCCCTCCGGAGGGAGTTTCTCTCTCACATACTCCCCCCCTCATCATATAGGCGATAACGGTCTCTTCAATATTGCATTTCGATGATGAACATTTCAGAAGGCAAGGGAGGCATTATCAGAATAAAACTCAATTTAGTTTCCAGGTTTGAAAAGTTTGTAAATAGCATGGATGGGCAAGTAGAAAATGTTGACTGTTACAGTAAACATAAATTATTGGATGACAGTATTTTATGGGTGGTTTATATTTCACAAACTATATTGCTTCTGGTAATATGTTTCTTTTTTTTAATACAACTTGTGGCAATAATATACCTTTAAAATCAATTTAAATGGCAACTAAGATTGTCAAAGAAGAAACAATAGGTGGTTTAAATGCAGTGGTGGAAATGAACTAAGTACATTTACTCAAGTGAGATTCTTAGTATTGATGTATTACATGTCTGATATGTGTCACTTGTAATGTAAAAGCGTGAAAATCACACTTAATTAACACTTAAGTACACATTTGAGGAACTTGTACTTTACCCGAGTATTTTCATTTGATACTTTTACTACATTTGGAAGAAAATGTTGTACTTTTTACTCCACTGCATTCATTTGACAGAAACTTAAACAATTTGATTATTTGGTATCTAGATGAAACCATCCAACATTTTATTTAAGTAACTAAAAACATGAGTGGGTTAACAGAAAATTAATTGGCAGCAATTTTGCCAAGAAGTTTTTTGTTCTTCTTAAATGTGAAGATGTACTGCTTTTGCTTTAAAATATGGTTTCAGTACTTTAACTTCAATTAACTTGAGTATTTTTACAGTGTGTTATTAGTACTTTTACTCAAGTAAAGAATCTCAACACTTTTTACACCACTGCTAAAGTTGTTTAAATTGAACGGAAGTCTGTTTTGGTAAAATACCTTCATCAAGTCTATGAAATACACCTTTAACAACCCAGATCCTGGTGTAGGTCGCCCACTAGTGGTTGAACACGTACATCGCCTTTCATTTTCACCTGAAGACTGAATGAGGAGTCCGCACTCCCAACATTATCCTACAGAGAGAGTAGAGGCTCGTCCAAATATATTAGTGTGCAATGGGGATTATTATTATTTTTAAATAAAGTTATATTAGTCTATGGCGCGAGGACTGTAAAAGGTTGGAACAAGTGACTACAAAGGACAACAATACACAAAAAACCGCAGTGCTCCAGACTGAGTGGAGCCAGCAACTTGTGAGACGTCTCAGAGCCGCAGCACGACCACTGTAAGAACTACAACTTTACACTGTAACATCATTAACGTATTTTTTTTTTAAACACGTAATTGTGTTGAAGTTTTAGGGTGTGCTGCTCGTATTATATTGGACGCTTATGACCATAATTTTCTGTCAAAGGCGGAACAAGTTTGTTCACTCGTAACATTCACTTAATCTCTGTGCAATGAAAACGTGCTACGAACAGTTAGCCGTTAACCTAACTCACTTTGGAAACCAATATTATATGTTGGTTATGGTTTATAGTATGGTGGTTTGTTTGATACAATTAGGAACCAAAATCTCATCAGCTGTAACGCTAAAGCGAGCCCTAGTTTATCAGTAAAGCGGAGTGATATGCACTCCGCCTCACCATTCTACTTGTGTCCAGGGTCTGGAGGACATGGCACGGGGAGACGGAGAGAAGAAACGCTGGAAAACGAGAGGAAATATTTAAGCGAGTAGCAACTGCACTCTTAACGTGACACGAAAACGCTTTACCATGGCTCTCATGGGGTTCTGTTGAGAGGTATGTTACTAAGCGAATTGTTTCATTAAAAGTGAACTCCAGTGAGCTGCATCAGCAGGATACGCTGGGCAGAGGAGGGCTGGGCTAACAGCTAGCTTAGCATTAGCCTCAGTTGTTCAAAAAGTTTCTGGAATGGAGGAAGAGGAGGAAGGGTGAAGTATCTTCGGCTAACCGTTACGAGGTAAAAACTATGGCTCCAAAAGTCTTGTTTTAAAAAGGAAACAGCTTCCTAAAGTGGTAAACTAGATAGTTAAAGTTGTCAGTTGTTATTAGAGGTGTCTGACTGTAAATGTAAGCTAAACAAGTTGTGTACTGTTAGCTAAGCTAGTTAGCAAATTACTTACATTAGCTTGCTACATACCAGGGTAAGCTAACAGCACTGGAATAATGTGTTATGTTATGACTGTGCTTACTTTTGTGCCACATTTAAATCAGAGCAACACTAAAAGCTATTTGTTCTGCTGTTTGGGGATTTGTGTAACGCTAGATGTTTCTGAATCTCTTTCTCCCTTTCTCTGGGTGGGGGGTGCTTACTACTCACCGGATCGTTCTTCCATATTGTCTGTGTCCTGTACTTCATACATGTCAAGCATTTCAGGCAGATCTCACACACACAGTTATGATTGTGTGGGAAATTCTTCCCA